TACTACACAACATTATATTTATTCATTTGGAATGACCCGGCGGTTTGAACGGTTGAACCGGTTAAACCGGATAAACCGGGAACCGGAGGTCAAAACGGTTTGACCTCCGGTTCGGTTTTTAAAACTTTGTTTTGAATCATGTGTCGGCAGCGCCTCGCTCTCCCTCCCCCCACCCCCACTCTTTTTTTTTTTGTCAATTTATATAAATTAACTTGTATATTCCAATAAAGCCCGTCTACTTACCTTTATTCCTAATATGCCCCTCAAATTTTATTTAGTATCAAATAAGCTCCTCCCTTCTACTGCACATCGTTATATTTAACGCAAAAATTAATTGGAAAAATGTCATGGGGCAACTTGTAACAGTTTTCTCTCCGTTAATGTGTTAATTGAGTTAGCTCCCCTGTCTATTGTGAATGTTGGCATCGATGCTTTGTAACTGCTCTTTCATCTCCTCTAATTTTTTTATCAAGCAACAACCATTTTCTTTGCCTCCTTGGCTTTGCAGAGCCATTAGCAAACTACTGGGATTCATTGATCAAAGTTACATACCCTAATTAGAGAATAGAGGAAAAATTACCTTTTCTTTTTCCTTTGTATGCAACAATCATATAGTAAAAGGGACTTAAATAGCATGAAAGTTACTCAAAGGGACGTATTTAGGACAGAAGTTAGTGGAGGCTTGATTAAAAAATTAACAACTTAATCGATGGGCCAATACTAGGACTCTTCCTATGAAACAAACCTTACCGTATAATGATATGAACATATTGACCAAAACGTCAAACCAAAACTTAATCGAGGGACGTTTTTAATGTTCTTCGGCTTCATACAATGATATGAACATCTTCACCAAAACCTTTACCTCGGTTTGACGTTCTTCAAATCCTCTTCATTCATTTATCCATCTCCTTACCGTATACTAATATCCCTTTATGCTTGTGTCGAATATATATATTTCAGGTTGCTCTATGCGAAATATGTGTTCTACGACTTTGTAGATTTAATTCGAGGTCATACTTACGAATTTTTCCATTACTACTATGATGGTACGCTTTTCTAATTCAATCTTTATTGGAATTATTACTCATTCCTTAGTGCTGTCTGTTTATGTGCTTGCATATCTTTCTAATTTTTTTATTCTAATCTATAGATCCTGATGGCATATTTCTCGAAGCAACAGGTCAGTCTTAATTCCATATATTCTAAAACAAAAGAACTATTTTTCGGGTGATATTAATATATATATATATATATTTGAAAAGCAAATTCAGTTCTTTATTATTAGAGTATAATGGCTACTCTGGACCCGTTACACCACAGACTATTTACTGCAAAAACATATAACCCTCTCTGTTACAATATATGGGCAATTAATATTGATATATAACTATGTGATGTGATCCTGAACCTAATTTTTTGTGATAAGGTGCACTTATTTTGGCAAGAGCTTTGCTGGGGCTATCCATCTTAATTGCAGTTACTGTGTACAAGTTCCGCAGGAAACATTTGTCTGCAGATGATACAATTGAAGAGTTCCTTCAAAAGCAGAACAACTTCATGTCTATTAAGTACTCATATTCTGAGATAAAAAAAATGACTAAAGGTTTCAAGGACAAATTAGGTGAAGGAGGTTATGGTTTGGTTTTTAAAGGAAAGCTTCAAAGTGGCGATTTAGTGGCAGTAAAATTATTGAGCAAATCAAAAGCTAATGGCCAAGATTTCATCAATGAAGTTGCTACCATTGGAAGGGTTCATCATGTTAATGTTGTGCGACTAATTGGATTTTGCGTGGAGGGATCTAAACGAGCTCTTGTATATGATTTCATGCCAAATGGATCCTTGGATAAAATCATATTTTCTAGTGAAAACAACACATCCTTAACCTATCAAAAAATGTTTGAAATTGCTCTTGGAGTGGCTAGGGGGATTGGATACTTACATCAAGGATGCGAAATGCAAATTCTACATTTTGATATCAAGCCACACAACATCCTTTTGGATGAGAACTTTAATCCAAAAGTTTCAGATTTTGGCCTTGCAAAATTGTACCCGACAGACGATAGCATTGTATCTCTTACTGCAGCAAGAGGTACTTTAGGATACATGGCTCCAGAATTATTCTACAAGAATATTGGAGGGGTCTCGTACAAAGCTGATGTCTATAGCTTTGGAATGTTATTGATGGAAATGGTGGGAAGGAGAAGGAATTTAAATGCATTTGCTGATCATACAAGTCAGATATTCTTCCCAAAATGGATTTATGAACGTTTTGATCAGGGAGAGGATATAGAGTTGGGAGATGTTACTAATGTTGAAAAGAATGTTCTGATGAAGATGGCCATAGTTGCCTTGTGGTGCATACAAATGAAACCTGCCATTCGTCCTTCTATGACGAAAGTCTTGGAGATGCTTGAAAGTGAAATTGAGCTCCTTGAAATGCCTCCCAAGCCTACTTTTGTTCCTTCTGAATCGCCAGCTCCAAATCATGGCAGTATAAGTCTAGCAACTGCACTAACCATGTCGCTTGATGCTAGATCATAATGTTCTACTCCAAATGCATTTCTAGGTAAATGTGCGTTCACAGCTAGTAGCATTGAATATTGTGTCATAATCCTATATTGTTGCTTTGGTAGATTACCTACTCAATTTTATTCTTGTAAAATATATCAAATTCCTCGTGCCATTTTTCTATCTGTGGATTGCAAACTATTGTTTGAATCAAACTAATCATTGCCAAAATTCCATTATCTTTTAGCAATAACATGTTTGGTAGTATTTTACATAGACTGCCCTCCTGGTCCATCAACTTAGTAATCAATTTCATTTGGGTTCCTTGACATTGTAAGTTACAGGAAATAAACACTGGTGTCCTTTGTTATGTAAAGGGTTTAATATAGGAGGAAATAAACACTGGTTTCTTTAATCTGGTTACTTTCCCATTTCCAGAAGTTAGAAAGCAAAAGGCACATTAATTCCTATCATAGCCTGATTTTTGCTTTGCATTTTTTGATATTTTTTGCAGTTAAAATCTATTTTGGTTCTTTTACTTTATCAAAAAGATTTTTAGTTTCTTTACTTTAAAAATTTTTTTTCTTTTACTTTTAAAGTTTAAAATTTGACACTTTTTAATATTTTTGTTACTTTTTACCCAAGTGACATGTTTTAAAATAGTGGGGTTAAAAAAGAATTAAAAAAGTTTTTCTTTAGTCCCTCTATTAAAAAAAAAAAGAGCTCATTTTTAATTCCTTTACTTAAAAAGAAAAAATCTCTTTTTAGTTTCTCTATTTTAAAATTTTTGTTATTTAACATGATATTTATGCAAAAAAATAATGGGAATTAGAAAGGGATTAGATTTTAAACTTTAGGGATATAAAAAAGCTTTTTTTAAGTAAAAGAACTAAAAAGGAATTTTTTGTTAAAGTAGAGGAATTAAAAATGAGTTTTAACCTATTCTTGCTAAAATTTTGATCTTTTTAAATTATTAATTTCTCATAAATTCTTATGTTTTAAATCCAAATTTAAAAATTTTGAATTATAATATGACATGAGAAATTAACTTGAAATTTTTGTTTAAAGAAAAATTGAGATTAAGAGCATGTTTGGTGAAACTTGTAAGAGGTTATAATTTTTTTGTACTGTTTATAAGTAATAAATTTAAATTTTTATTGGAGGAAAAATTTAAAAATTACTTTTAGAAATAGAAAAAAATGAGTAAAACAAAAGCTTATAAAAAATACAAATTTGAAATTTTTCAAAATTTACTGTTTAAAATCTTTTTAAAATTAAAAAAAAAGTTAAAAAAATATAAGTTTTTTTTATAAAAAATTTAAATTTATGAAATATAAATAGTATCAAAAAATTGAAACTCTTACAAGTTTCACAAAATATGCCATAAATCTAAATGATGTTGCTTTGTACCAAATTAAGAAAATTTAAAATGGAGGTTCTATTTCGCTGGGACTTAAATGCGATACGGAATACATTTGAGGACCAAAATGACATTCTTGAGAAACTTATGGACTGAAGTGCAAATCGATCCCAAAATGGCTGTCGAGCCCTAACCTCCATTCTCGGCAAAACCTCAACCAGATCTGGTTTCCCGCTCTCCCTTCCCCGTTCGCTTGAGACCAAACGGCCCCAGTTCTCGGACAGCCTCACATCAGACAAAGCGCAACCCTCCCTGTCCTTTGCTTTCCCTGAAGAGAGAGCAATGCTTGTCGGTAGAGGAATGGGTCAATTTTGTGCCGTCCGATCAACGGTGAAGAAAACAGAGGAGCAATCAAGGGGCTAACAAGAGGAGAGAATAAGCAATCTGAGGGAAGTCTTACGTTTTTTTCAAAGTTTTTGTATAAATAGAGAGGGACAATCAGAGAGAAGGAGGCGGACGGAAAAAAATGGGGTCGAGAGAAAAAAAGGAGGAGATCCGAGACCCTTAGGTGCTGGCGGAAGAATGATTTTCTTGAGTGCCCTATTGCTTGTAATCTGATCTTTAAGGTACAATACTCGTCCCTTTCAATTTCATGTAATTTATTTACAATGAAATGAGAAATTGATTAAGTTTTTGCTCTGCAATTATTTTCTGTTGATGTTGTGAATATCTGAATTCATCGAGTTTTAGGTACTGACCCAATATTGGGTCTCCCTAATTCTAGATTCTATACATCTTATCTTGTATGTGCGCCTCTTATTGTTTAGACTTCTGCTTTATGAATTAATTTTGATCCCTTGTGCTCCCCGACTATGTGTGTGTGTAAATTCCTTCTTACTTGTGAAGTCATGATTTTAGATTTTTGCATATGCCTTGTGTTGCTTTCCTTCTCTGGACATTTTACCGTCTAATAATTTTACAGTTTTCATATTTTTCTGATGCATCCTGTTTGGGCAGCTTCGCAGTCCAACACTGTTGAAGTCCTTAACTGCTTCTATACCTGAAAAACCTGAGGTTGTTTCCTCGGGGAATACACTCCAATGCTCAAGTCAGCAATACTCTAGAATACTCAATATTATAGAGAGAGATACTCTTAAGGAGTAATTGTAGAAAGAGAAGCGTAGAGATTAATTACCTTCATCGGAGGTAGTTGAAGGTATTTATAGCCCCAAGTGCTGACATGCATCTGTAAATGTAAACATCTCATTGGCCCACGTGATGCTGATCACGTGGGCATGCTTACCTTAGTGTTCCCTCAACTTGGGTTAGTGGGCAGTAACCTAAGCCTGTTATGCACAGCCATGTTTGGATGTTGGGCCTATTCCAACACATCCATTTTAGATTGTAGCCTTTCATTGAAACAAAGAGATTAATATCTTGTCCTTGCATTGTTAACTAAAATTGTTACTAGATTAAAATAAAAATCGAAACTCTCCTTCAACTAGGGGATTCATATAGCATAATTATTAAAAATTTCATACTTTAGCATAATTATTATAAATTTCATTCTGTAGTACGATTATTTAGAAAACATTAAAAAAAAGGTGTAGAATAGAAAGAATTTCCATCATATTCTAATTCAGAGATTACTGCTAAATCTCTGTTAATTGGTCTCCTAAGGATGTTGGCACTTGTCTGCGCTCCATCTGCATGGCCAAAGGGATTTGGTGGCATTGTCAAACTGTCTGCTTCTCCTTCCAACATATGAACCACTGATTTCATTGATGGTCGGTCTGTTGGGTACCACTGGATGCACCAAATTAAGCCCAACAATTGTAAGTTTTCTTGCTATCTTGGCATGGCCTTCATTTTCTATTCTAATCCCCAGCACTTCTCCTCTCTTCAAGCAATTATACACCCATTCCGGGAAATAAACTTGGCTTGTACTCCCCACTGTGATGTCAATATTCTTCCTTTCTCCTACCATTTCCAACAATAGCATTCCAAAACTATAAACATCTGATTTATATGACACTTTTCCAAAGTTCCTAGACAGTACTTCAGGTGCAATATATCCCATTGTTCCTCTGGCTGCTGTCGTGAAAACAGCACTTTGTTCTTTGGAACACAGCTTTCGTAGACCAAAGTCGGAGATCTTCGTATTGAAGTTTTGGTCTAGCAAGATATTGTGAGGCTTGATGTCAAAATGAAGGATTTGTTGATCACAACTTTGGTGCAGGTACTCAATTCCTTTCGCTATTCCTATTGCAATATCTTGAAGATTCTCCCAACTGAGGGAACGACTTTGGTTTCTGGTTGCAAAGATAAACTTCTCCAATGATCCATTTGGCATGTACTCGTAAACAAGAGCTCGTTTATTTCCATCCGCACAAAATCCAATCAAGCGAGTGACGTTGACATGATGGATTCTGCACATTGATCCAACTTCATTAATGAATTCTTCTCCAGTTGCTTTGAAATTGTTGAGGACCTTAACAGCAACCAAAACATCATTAGAAAGC